TTCTCTCTCCTTTGTATCACTGAACGACACTGCAGAAGGCGAACATTTAATTTAACCCCCTGCACAAATTGATGATTTGGGGTGGCTAGTTCTCTGCGTACTGCCTTAGACAAAGCAGCTCCTTTGAAAAAGAAAAACTTAAAAAATGGAAAGCTGGCTGCCTTGTTTAATGCAGAGCTGCACATGTTAGAAAACTGGAGAGAAAATGCCGCTCTACATGCCTACAGGAATCTACGGAAGCCGAAAGCGGTTGTACTTGCCTTTTTTTACATTCCTTTGCCTTCTCAAGATTACTATCTCATTATCCAGGTTAAACCATTTATTGTTTTGTTGAGATGAAAAAAATAAATAAATTATAGGTTATCGTTAGAAAACATTTATTGATTTTTTAAGAAAATGAGATGATTAAGGTGTACAAGCAATGAATGAGGCTGGCCAGCAGCCCTGGATTCCCAGTCCATCCATGCCTGCGGGTCGTCGTACTGCATGTGTGCAAATAAGCAGTTTTTTCATTTTCCTTTTTCTTTTCACTCATTTTCAGGTCATAGTGGATGATTGGATTGCATGGAATACAGTAGAAACAGATCTGACTGTTTTTTAATGAAAATCTTTAATATTGTACAAGAATTTCCTGTGAAATTTAACTGGTCAAAATACATTGTTTACTGTTTTACCCCAGTTTACCACATTTCAGTCTTTTTTAAAGTTTTTTACCGTAATAATGTTTATTCCACATTTTAAAATAAACGAGAAATTACTTTAGAACTGTAACATATATCTTGTTTTACAGCAGATAAATGTAAAAATCTATGGAAAGGGAACATTACAGTTCAAGGTAATTATATTTTATTTTTTCTACAATGATTGACAGTGAAAAAAATTTTTTAGCTAAAATTTAAGCTTACAAAAAATTTAAGGTTTTGTATAGATTTTTTTACAGTGATTTCCTGGCAGCCACAGCTGCCCGTATTTTACTGTGATTTTAAGTTGTTTTTTTACAGTCCAGACATGAGCGCACAGAAACACGTCCATAGGAGATGTATTTGTGTCATATTGGAGGTCTCACTGTAATGATATTGCACACACAAAATGTCCCAAATCTGTGATCAGACTAGTTTCCGTAAGTGTTTCTTTAAAGCTGCTTGTGTGAGTAGTCTATTTATTACATGTGTGCACTTTTGGTAGAGTCATCATTTGAATGGTTGACAGTAGGGGGCGGGTAATGAGCAGCGTCCCGTGCAGTGACCCCTCCTCCATTATGTTCATTTTAAATACAGTAAAGATGCTAAAGGCTTTGAGGGACGAGTCTCCCCCATCCTTATCTACTCCTTTTTTAAATACATTTTTAAAATAGTTAATATTATTTGATTTCCTATTAGTTGCTTCCTTTTTAAGAAGGTGATAGTGGGAATGAATAATGATGGTTCTGACTTCTAAAGAGCGCAGCGCTATCAATGGCTATCTATGTGGTGTCTGAGCCTGTTTGGTTGCAGTTTGGTTGTGTTCTCTCTCTGAGGAGCGATATTTAACGCCTGGCCTCCTGTGCGCTCGCTGCCTGATGGTCATTGTTTACCTGGTAGATTTGCCAACATCTTCCTCTTGTGGAAATAATCTCTTAAGCCTTTTGGGATTCTTTCCAGTGACCTAACCTGTGCTCTGTGAACCTAGGAGCACCCCACCCACCTCCCTCATATCCAGCTGCTGCTCCAGTTAACTCCCCTGCTTCCAGAGACGCCACCTTACCCTGTTCGCCTGAGAACCAAATAAACCTCCAAGCCTGGTTGTCTGCATTCTGGGTCCAGCACCTGACACACAACAGTCTACTCCTGCTGTGACATTTTCAATTGTTAGCAATGCATTAAGGGAACTCCAGCTGCTTAACAGCCTTAAATAACAAACAAACACTCAGTTAGATACAAAATATCTTTTTTTTTTTTATCAAATCTGGATTTCAACAATTAAATGCCTTTTATTTCTGTATTTAGGCGCCACCTACTCTGGGAAAAATGAATAAATGTTGACCTAACCTTCTCTGCGTGCTGTTCCATGCTAAGTGCACAGCAAAATGTTCTTTCATAGAAACCTGCACAGAAAGGACGCTGATTAAAGCAGAGAAAATGCAGGCAGATGATAAATGTCACCCTGATGAAATAACCGAGTGAATGTAGTGAGAGCCGTGCGTTCAGGTGATTAGCTTCTGCAGATTTATTATCACAAGCAGTCTCTTACATTAAATATATTACTTCATAAAGGAACATTAACTCAGAGCTGAAAAGAAAAACTGTTTGCTTCACAAAGCAGCAACGTTTTTAACGTTAGTTGCATAAAATATTTTAAAAAAACACGCCAACATCTGCTGTGGTCGGAGACAGTTTCGCACCACAAGGGCAACAAATGGATTAAAGTGAAAACAAAAGAAGTAATGGATGTAGCTCACCACTCCCCAGTCCTCCTCACGTCACGCTGATGGACTCTCCTCAGTGCTCTCTCCTCTCTCTTCTCCTCCCTGCGCCTCCTCTGCCTCCTGCAGGCCAGCGCTCTATAAAACTCCCTCTGCTTCAGCTCCTTCAGCCGCTGCAAGACAACCAAAGATTCTCCTTGTTTGTTGGAAAATTAAAGCTTCATGCATTTTTGTAAGAGAATGAAGAAGGTTGTGATTAAAACAATGTCCTCATGTCTGTTGAAGCATTTTTTATGCATTTACTCTTTGATATTTTGGGGTTCAGTCTTCCATTCTACATGACAGATCATCTTTCCTTTGCATTTTACCTTCAGGTATAGCATAGATCAATAATTAGGGATTCAGTTTTTGTTTAAAAACCTTTTTATTTTTTTTTAAACCAGCATTTACAAAAATAACACAATCAGCATACAAGGAAGCATAATGCAATTTAAATATATATCAAAATATTATTTAATTTAATATTATTTAATTGTTTT